CACACAGCTGCTTCTTCATATCTGCACAGTGACTAGCAATCATCAAATCTGACATGTCACTCTACTCAGGCTGGCGCATTCTGATGCTACAGCAAAGCCAGTGAAGCCCCACTCACAGGAAGCAAAAACAAGCCAGAAAAGCAGATACGTCTGTACAGTTCCCATCATCTCAGAATTTTGGCTGAAACATGAAGAAAATAAAATGCATACACTGTCTGTGCAAAAATATGAGAAATTTTACTTCACGCATAATGAAAATACAGCAAGAATAACAATGCAGTTGATATAAGATCTTGAGTTTTTTTTTTACTAAGAAGAAAAGGATTCACACAGGTGAAAAGCATTCCTTCCCCTTCCTCAGAGAGCAGATGCGAAGAACAGCTGAGGATCATTTCCCCCACAACATTTCATCACTGTGGGCTCAGAGGGCTGGTGATGTGAAGCTGGGGGTTTAGGCCTATATTTGAGTTATATGCTGGCTTACGAACTTCAGCATGTGGGTGAGGCTTCAACAGCATGTCAGAGGGGAAGGAGCTTCCAGGATGTGGGTGTGGCTTCCAGGCTCATCGATACAGTGGATCACTTTCTTTAATTTTCAAAAAGACAGCATGACAAGTTTTCTGGTATTCAGAGCCAGACACAGACAAACAGCAGGTTTGCCGCTTGGTGAGGGAGGTCACACACACCGTAAGAGTCTTGATTCAAAACTCCTCTGGCTCTGCTGACTCTACATCTGGTATGACAAAACCATCCTGCCAGGGAATTTGAAAGGTTACTGGAATAGAATTTGCACCTATGCAAACAAACAAGGCACTGGTACCATTTTAAAGAAATATTTGGCTGCCTAGAGCACTGCCAGCAGTCTCAATATAAATTAGGCTGCCTTTTTTCTTCCACTGTCTATTTACCTGCCACGTTATAACCACAAAGCAAGCATGTGTGAGAACATAAGAGACAACAGAGTTGGCCCTGGCATTCATTCTTCCTCCAGGCTCCTTTGTGAAGCCAGCCTGATAAAGCAGTAGGTTCTCTCACAACAGGTGCTACTCTAGAGAGCACAACCACTTGCTAAGCTCGACAACCTCGCCAAAGCTCACTGCGCCAGTGAGGGCCTACAGCTGGCTGCCAGACATGCTACATCCCCACCCATGCATAGGTTTGTACTCACATCTGTGGCATAGAGGATGTCCACGATCCTCTGCAGCGTGGGGTCACTCTCACCCTCCTTTTCCTGGCATATGAGCTCAATGTTCCTCAGTTTGCCAAAGTAGAAGTCCCGTTCCTTCTCCATGTCTTGGATGGTGGATGACAGCATGGATATCTGTTGGCAAGATCAAGAGAGACAGATATTGGCTCTTGGTCAGGAAACTAGATATGCCCAAAGTTGCAGGCTGAAGGCCAAGGTTAATCTTTGCTCTTGTGTCCATGCGGTAATTGCCTTATTTTAGTTACTGGGTCCAACTATATGCCAAACAGAAATGTACAACAGTAAGCTTAGGGAGTGGCTATGACTAACAGCATCTGTTTAACAAATAGTGCATCTAAGCAAATAATGTTCTACTGGGATCGCATATGAATTTTAGTAAGACACACCTTCTGAAGGAGCTCATTCTTTTCTTCTTCCCCACCAGCTGTCCCTGGTCTCCGTGCTGGATTCACCACCAGCGTCTTGGGGGAAACTTTTGCTGCCACTGCTGCACGTTGTGGGGCTGGCATTGGGGGGGCAGGGGGGTGCCAAGGCAAAAAGGCAGATGGGTTACTGAGGCACAGAGGACGAGTACCCAGCCACCTCCCCTTGACCTCATACAGACGTGAATCAACAAGGCGTGTCAGAAAAAGGTCAGGCTGTTTTCAGGGCTACTATGAAGTGTGTTAATCATGACCAATTATAGCAGTGTCATAGTACATAGTTATTAGCTAAATAACATGACAGATGTACTCAACACACATGCACACATGAGAGAGATCACACGGCATTATATGAGACAGAAGCCCATCCATGAGCCGTACACAGTCTCTCTCTCTCTCACTCACACACAAGATTGTAATTAAACCTTTGTGGGGACTTTCCATTCATTTCCATGGGGAAAACACTAATCCCAACAATGTCGACCTTAACAGATCACAGATCTTTGTGGGGATGTCAGAATAACAGGTTTTTAATGACATTGTGGGGGACATTCGGTCCCCACAATGAAATATAAACCTAATCTTCACACACGCGCACACACACACACACACACACGCACACACACAATCTCCATTGTTTGAGTGCATCTCCTGCTGAGTGTAACCAGCCCCGTGAAGTTGCCACATGGCATTGAGAAACATATGTTTTCAAGTCCAAGACTGTGATCATTGCGCAGCCTGATGTGCATATGAGAGCACCTCCCCACCCCCCCACCAACGCACACTGTCCCATAGCCCAACATGCTACCACCTCCACCATCAGAGAACCGTACCAATTCTGGCGGCCGGTTTCGTCATGGCGGCGGGAGAGATGCGCTCCTCTGTGATAAAGACAGAAGCATCACTGAGTGATGAGAGGCCACTGAGGGGATACCAAGGGCCATACACTCACCAACCTCTGGGCACAGACACTGCTTTAGACCTTTGGTGTATCACCACGATGTACAAACCCCTTATGCCTTATTTTAAGGAGAATATTCCCTGTCATATCAGGTACAACCAATCTACTGAAATCTTTGTATCAATAATTTATCAACACTAAGGCTATTTTTACTGCACTACACAGATTGAGAGCCCCAAACACTGAGTTAGATTGTAATCAGGAGTCATAAGAACATAAGAAATTTACAAACGAGAGGGGGCCATTCGGCCAATCAAGCTCGTTTGGGGAGAACTTAACTAATAGCTCAGAGTTGTTAAAATCTTATCTAGCTCTGATTTAAAGGAACCCAGGGTTTTAGCTTCCGCTACACTAACAGGAAGACTATTCCATACTCTAACTACACGCTGTGTAAAGAAGTGCTTCCTCAAATTTCTTTTAAAATGTTCTCCCGCTAATTTCCACTTATGGCCACAAGTTCTAGTATTTAAACTAATATTGAAGTAGCCATTTGACTGAACAGCATCCAGACCTGTTAGAATCTTATACACCTGGATCATGTCCCCCCCTTAGTCTCCTTTACTCGAGGCTGAACAGATTCAGCTCAGCTAACCTCTCCTCATAAGACATTCCTCAACAGAATTCAACACTAAACGTGAAGGAGCAGGCAGGAATCCCCAACATCAACTCCCATCTAAAATGTTAATCTTGCTCTGCTTCTCTTAGCAAAGGTGGGGATTCAGAAGCTCAGGGGGCACCATGGGCAGCTGCCTAGGGTGGCGGCACATGGGGCACCCGCACAACTACACAACTGCACATCTGAGCAGTTGGCTCAGATTTTGCCCAAGGTGTCAGGAACCGCCACTGCAAACGCTCACCAGGAGTCAGCCATGAGGAGCTTGTCCCTGCTAGGTAACGGTGTCTGCCATACAGACAGCAAGAGCAGCTCGGTGGCACTTTTCCTGGGTAACGTGTACACACAAGCGGCCCCTTGCCTCACCCGCACTGACAGCCTTCCGGGGCTTGGCGGGGGCAGGTGACGCTGAGCTCTGGGGCGCACTTTCCTGGCCCTGGCGGGCTTCCACTGGATCATATTCTCTCCCATCGTAGTTGGCATCAAAGAACTTCTTGAACCACTGTACAAACTCAAAGTTGTCCTGGAACTTGCCCTTTACCAACTTGTCAACAGGGATAATCTTGAAGAGGGGACCAGAGAACAAAATTCATTCATCATCTTCTGGGCTATGAACCACACTACTATTCATATGGTAACAATGAGAAAACCAACACTGAAATTCCAATGTACCAACCTTGTCAACACCCATTTTCTTAAAGCTGGCTTGCAGAATTTTGAAGTTGTGAATAAATTCATGCTCCAGTTTGGCCTGAAATTTGACTTTCTTCATAGGCACACTACCCGGGAACAGCATGTCCATAAACTGGCAGTAAGCGGCACCTGGAGAAAGAACAGTACACACATCAATTACCTGTATGAACAACAACCAATAAAGCCATGTACAGTACTGAATCTAGGATGTGCATCACCTTGCACTACAGATTTTTATCAACTGTGACCCGGTTTTCACAAATTGGGTTCCTATAGTACCCTCTTAAGCTATGGGATTCCTAAATTCACACACCAGTTCACATTTAATGAGCAATAATTTCAACATTACTCTAAAAAACACTAACAAAGCCTCAAAACAGCCTGCACATCCATTTCTGTTGAAACAGCCACCCAAACCCACTGGGATGATGGGATCTCCAACAGACTTTCTGCCTAGTCAAGACAAAGGAAGCCTCCAATCAACAGAGGAGCCGTAGACTTCTTACAGATGATAACAGGAGCTCATTCAGTGATTGGATGAAATGTCTGGGTAGGTCAGAAAGGAATCACCATGAACTTGGTCCACATCGGCAGCTCACAAAGCTTTTTCTTACCTGAGGATAGCATCTCGATCTTTGTGTGGCTCATCTGCAGGGACTCGTTTATCCAAGCAAGCATGTCATGGCGACTCAGGTTGTCACTGGTCACTGATGTCGAGTAGACGTTCACAGCCATTTTCGGTCTGTCTTGAAGACAGGGAGTAATACAAATAAGAGCAAAACTACTTCGAGTGAGAGCTGTCAGTATATGAGTGGTTCTCAATCCTGTTCCTGGTGCCCTCCTCATTCTGGCAGGGGGTCGCCAGGATCTGAATTGATAACCACTGAACTATATTAATATTTGTGTAATCTACTGATTCATTTAACAATGAATCAAGCAATCATTTATATAATATTCTCGAATAAGCCAAAACATTAAATTCACCCCCATGTGAATCTTGTAAAAACAATGTGTGTCAGGGTCTGGGATATAGACAGTAACCTAACATTGGGAACTCATAGTTGGCATGTTGAATGCAGAAGAAATGGCCAGGGGGAATGAAGTGAGTGATTGTGACAAGGGCCAAATCATTATCGCCAGACAGTTGGGTCAGAGGATCTCCAAAACAGCATGACTTCTGGGGTGTTCCCTCCACCAGCCGTGATAAGTACCCACTGAGATGGGTCTGAGGAAGAACCACCCATAGGCTGTTAGCGGCTAGGACTCGTCAATACGGGATGTATGAAGCAAAAGGAGGGCATAAATTACAGACGATTATTGATGATGATTACGGGAATGTCATGACACACAAGGCATCAATAACCTTCATTCATATCTTGCAAGTGTGTGTGTGTTAATTTGTGTGTATTATTAATTAATACTATATGGTTATTATGTGCCATATGATGACATTATACAGGATGATGTACCAAAGCAGTAAGCCTAGCCTTCATTTTAGAAGTGATCACCTTGAGATACAGGAATTGAAAAAAGCAAATCAAGGTAAAAAAAAATGTAACTTAAAGTGATGACAAGGAGAACTAGGCTGCTCCAAGAACCTAAAGGGCTGTGCATTATTGAGTGCATGGATGTTTTCTTTTAAAATGTAAGTTGTGCTGTTTTCATTCACTTTTAATGTGAATTGCTTCTATAAGGGTTTTGCACTGATTTTTTTTGGACCGTCATCCACTATGCTCAGTCTTCCACCTGTAAAACCTGGTCCAAACTCACAGCAAATGAATTCTTAGTAACAAAGCACTGATCATTAAAAAATAATCATTGTATCTAGAAATATGTTTCCTATCCTATTTAAAACTAAATTTTCTTATTTAGAAATTAGATTATGAATAACTACCCCTAAATAGTTCTCCCTGTAGCTGAAGGTGTGTCCAAACATAGAATAGAATAGAGATACTTTATTCAACCCCATGAGTAAAAATTCTCTTTTTGCCTATTCTATCTCACTCTCCATGAGACATACAGACACATATACAGGTGAGAGCAAGTTTGAGGTTTGACAAGTTTGACAGTGCAGGGTTTGACAAGTTTGACAGTGCAGGGTCAGCCAATGTGCAGTGTCCCTGGAGCTGGGGGTCAAGGGCCTTGTGCATGAGCCCAATGGCGGCATGAGTCTACAGGCCCCAGAAATCAAACTGGTGACTTTCTAATCATGGGCACAGAGGCCTAACCCACTGAGCTGCAATGCCCCCAAACATATGACAAAAGACAAGGTATTCAAGATAACACCACCACCCCCAACACAAACACAGTACACTTGGATGAAAACACAGGCAGTCATACTATCATTTCCCCCCACTATGGTCACACTAAGTCAGCAAGTATGTCTCTTCCTCCTTCGTTGCACTTGACTGTCCAATGAAGTGACTGTCTCCAAGCAGTACAGACAACAATCAGTCAGCACAGCCATGTTCTGAAGCTGCGGTGAAGAAGCCATAATTCAAACAGGAACTGACTCGGGGCCACTGAGAAGATCTCGCAACAATATGGCTGGTTTCCTCATCTGGCCACTCAAGCCTTTAGCCATTTCCTCATACTGGGAGGTTGCCGAGAACACTAGGTCAATACCCTGTGGTGTCCAACCCATACATAGGTGTTTTATAGTATACAATAGTTAAACATACCCTATTCAAGATGCCTCAGTAGCATAGGTAAGGCATGACACAATGAGTGCAATATCATTTAGATCAGGCAAAAACAAACTTTGAAGCTTACACTCTTGACTAAACAGGAGCTACACATCCCTCTGTAACTGCAAGACACTGAATTATCAAACTGAATTTTGATCCACAGTTTTGTTTTGGATTAACCAGATCAGCTGGGTGTGAAGCTAGGAGCACAAACATAGCTGCCCAATGAAGGCCATGTGTGCTGGACCCACTGTCGGACTAAAGGCTGGGTTTTGCTGGGGGGCACTTCTGGGTATCCCTGGGGGGTGCAGTTTTTGCTCTTTGGGGGGGCTCACGCGGACTTCGCGAGGCAATGAAATAATCAGAGATCTGCAGTTTTTGCAGCCCGTGAACCACACTCACTCACTGTTTCCTATTAGGCATTAAGCCATGGACAGCCCTATTTGATAGTGAGATGACATGAACAGAACAGAAAAATATCTTTCTGATTGTGAAAACGCACCTAAAATAAAAGTGAGCCGTATCAGAATCTGCTTACAGAAATCTAAGGTCGTCTGCTAACTTACCCTCTAACTGAAACGTTTCTTAGCTAATTTTATGAACAGGTCCCCTTTGTATGTGAACTAACTAGGGCGACCAACTTCCTGAAGATGGCAACAAATTATTCAACATAAAACGGTTCGTTTGAGCCGGTAAAGGCTCGAGTCCAGTCGGCGCGGGGCGCTCATGGACTCCCAGCGGCGTTTGTCTCGCGGTAAGCAGCGAATGACTTCAAGATGCAACTTACATTATGTAAAGGGTCGCGGCGGCTTCGAGGGCGTTTCGGCGATGTAGCTGTGGGGAAGTATAATCTGCGGCCGTACTGAGACGCTGCTCCCCCTGCGCTGCCGCCTGCTGTCACCGCTACCCTGTGAATGACGGCGGCACGTGACGTGATAGTCTCTTTAAGCGGAACCGGCGCGAGACGCTGTTTCCCGGCGCGCGATCAGCTGGCCAGAGGTAGCCTGCGCCGGAGCTAGAGGTGGAAAATTCCGGTCCAGAAAGTACAAATCCAGACCAAGGTTTTCTTTCAGCCAACCAGTTGAGTATAAAGAATCACATTTACAGAGTACTCTGCTGGTTGGTTGAAAGAAAACCTTGGCCTGGATTTATACTTTCTGGACCTGAACTTTCCACTGCTAGCCGGAACTGCTCTAGAGAAATAAACTTCACCAATAAACTTTCTGCATGGCTGGTTAATGGCTGTAAATAGTAAGGACTATCTAGTTAGGACTATAAATTAACTCTTATCTGTTATATTATATTTGGACATTATGAAGAGATATTTTGGTCGAGCTGCAAGTCATTTGAGAAGTTTTTTTTTAAGAAAAACCAAAAAATATATGATGCATTCACTAAGATCATGTCCCGATTTGTTCCCGTTTCCGAAACCAATTCATTGTCTAATTATTACAAGATATGCTTTTAATTTTGTTGCACAAAATGTAGCTATATATATATATACGACAGAAAATATAGCTTTACATTATTCATTAAATCATATTGTCAACATTAAATATCAAACACAAAATCAGTGTTTTGCACTTTTGCTGATTTATAAAGATATATATAATGGGAATAAGATAGGCTTTGGATAAAGGGTGATACTTCCCATGCTCGATATTTCTGATTGAGCTATGCATCCTGGGATTGGCGCCAACGCTGTATTAAATAAGCATGCATACAGAAGAACCATGGCGGAAGTCTAGTGATATTGAGGTTAAAGTTCTGAAGACAGGAGCAGGTTGTGTCCAAAGTCAGCAGATGGCGCTGATTGTGGTGTGTAGTCCACCTCATCTGTGGTGTGTAGTCCACCTCATCTAAACTCACTTGCTGTGGTGTCCAACACATCATTCACCAGTAACAAAATGGCTAATTCTGATGGACCTTTTGATCAAAATGCGCTTTTTTTTTTTACATCATGGACACAGTATTGGAAAACATTGCCTACATAGTTTTTTCTCTGAATCATAACATTTTTCCTCTAATACGGAGTAATCTTACCACAGACATGTTTGTGTGCAAACAGGTTGACAGACCCCATAACTCAGTGCACTGGAAAAGGTGAAGGCAAACAAGGTAAGAAAAATATGGACCAAGCTGTAATCATGTACTCATTAGTGAAAGACACCTAGAAGAATATCTCTGATCCCAGGGGCTGTCTGCTCATGAAGCTATTTAAGAATCATCTTTCTTCACTGTTTCTCTCTCCATACCTGCACTGCTTGTCAGGCACTGAGAGGCCCAGTGCTTCTCTTACTAACACTTATTAGCCTGTTAGGTATACAGTATATCAAAAAAAAAAAAGGTAAAATGATGGTTTTTTGTCAGAGTGAATTTTCTTGAGCACCGTACCAGTAAATGAATATTCATTGCATGAATCATTGCATGAATATTCATTATAGCCACACATAATGGAGATCGAGCCAGGCAGAAATCAAGGCAATTTTGCCTTAAATTGGGAGCTCTTGCATTTCCATTCTAGTCTTTAAACTGTCACAAAATGGATTGTACTGCGTTTCTACGGCCATTTAAAAGACCCAATTGTTTCATATGTTTCAATGAAGCAGTTGTTGTTAGTACTTTCCACAGGGGTGACAACCGTAACCTTTTACTATAAAATTTAATTATGTCTATTGTGTGAAATGTCAACTAAGCACTGCCCCATGAAGGAAAAAAAAACAAAGGTGAATGAATTGCTTGAACAGACTTTTATGGAGGCATATCTTGTATATCAGGGGTGGGCAATCTTATCCGCAAAAGGCCGGTGTGTATGCAGGTTTTTGGGATAACCTGTAGGTCAGCTGTTCAAACCCAGGTGTGAGGACTCTTCAGCCAATCAGTCCTCTAATTAGTAATATAATTAGGGAGTTGCATCAAAAACCCGCATACAGACCGGCCCTTTGCGGGTAAAATTGGCCACCCCTACTGTATATGATGTGGTCCAGTGCTCTGATTGAATGGTTTACAAAAAAAGTGGGAAATTGGATACACAGGTGAGACGG